CCTTTCAATCACAGACAGGATCTTGTGGCTTTAGGACAGGGGTATCAAACTAATTGTCACTGAGAGTCACATCAGCCTTATGGTTGCTTTCAAAGGACCATTTGTAATTTTAATACTGTATAAATGTAACTATGTTGCCCTAGAATTGAAAACCTCTCCGTCAACATAAAATGATATGACAGGCTAATTCAGCCCATGGGTCTTGCATTGAATATGCGTGCTTTAGGGCTTGCATTTAACATGTGTCCCTCCCTCCAGACCCAAAAAAACAATTTAAAGGAGTTCAATTTTTTGCCATGGAATGCCTGTCTACACCCCCTAAAGGGCATGGGGTCAATTTTCAATGTTCCTTCCTGTTCTTTTAGAGTTAGAAGAGGCCTAAACATAATGGGAGTGCACATCATACTTTCTACCCTTGATATCAACTCTTCCTGAGACATCATTAGATTCAGAGTCACTTCAAAAAGCAGAATATCTTTTTTACAATTATAGCTCTGCATGAGTTGTTATAACTTTCTTTTTACAAAACACAGCAGCCAGAAACTACTGAGTTAAAGAAGAATTTTCTAAGGCAGGCATGGGACTAAAGGGCACTTTCCTGCGGGGTTTTTTTTTTTTTGGGGGGGGGGGGGGGTATTATTAGAAGAAAAGGCACTTACCCAAATCTTCAAGGATCCATCAATTTAAAAGTGCTTAAGAACGCCTTATCTTAGTCATTTTAGTAATTACCTAAAAATATTTGAACTACAGATATTTTTAACAATCACACGTATACTGAAGAATTATGACCAGATGGTGCAACAAGAACTCAGTCCAGCAGAAAATGCCAACCTTGACCTTAAAAGGGCACATTGAGGGTAAAAACAATGGCAAAATCGCCCCCTTACTTTACAAGGCATTTGGAGGCAAAAGAAATGAAAACAAGATGCTTTGACATTTGGACACATTTCTTTTCATGTCAGGAGACTTGAGAAACTGCCATTTGCTTCTGGTGTGAGAGAATTGGCCATCTGCAAGGACACTGCCCAGGGGACGGCCGGATGTTTTGATGTTCTGCCATCCTTGTGGAAGGTTTCTCTCATGTCCCCGCATGGGGAGCTGGAGCTGACAGAGAGAGCTCATCCGCACTCTCCCCGGATTCAAACCTGTGACCTGTCGGTCTTCAGTCCTGCCAGCATATTGGTTTTGACCCATTGCACCACTGGGGACTCGATTTGGACAAATAAATACCTCAGAGAGGCTGCATGTGGTCCATGGACCACACCTTCCCTACCTGATATTAGCAAAGTCAACAGTCTTTGGTTCTAGCAGCTTCATAACTCGGGAAGGAATATCTTAGACCTAAATTAAAGTTTTTGAGAAGTGTCCTAATATTGTGAATTATGGGATGTCCCGTAAACTTCTGCCTGTCCTTGATTAGGGCAACCTAAGTCTGATACTGGCATCTTCCTTTCTGTGCAGACAGAATGATTCAAAACTGAATGATTCAAATCCACATGTTTTTAGTGTACACATTTCCAAAGGCCTTAAATTTTCAACTCAAGGAGAAGCTTTCAGCAAAAGGGAATGTGGTCCAGACAGTCCTAAAGAAACCCTGACCATGTGGTGGCTTCTGAAGAAGCTCCAAAGCCACAAACACAACTGACTGAAAGCTTTGCCAAACAGCCAGATGCTCTTTCTGGAGAAAATGGTTCATAGCTCTGAATTTTGATTGCTGTGATCTCGTTGCATATATATATATATTAATTTACAAGGCGTGGACTTGACAACTATCTGCTTTTAGTTTGTGTTGTTCATGAAATCTATCAAGTTTGTGTTTGTTATTTGTTTTAAATTGTTAGATGCATTTATGTCTTTATGGGAAGGCACTCCTTCCTAATAAGTACAGTGACTTAATTTACAGATAATATTAAAAGACACAGAGAAGCAGAGAAAGATTGTCTGGCAGCAATTTAACCTTTGATCCTTAACAAAGCTAGAAACAGTTGCCAAGAAGCCAGTGTTTAACTGCCAGTAAACTATGCCAATGGACCAGATGCTGCGCCTAGAAACCTTAACAACTACCGCCAATGGGGCCAAGATTAACAATAAGAATCAGAAGAAGGTTGAAAGGAACAGCATGTTTCTGCAATGAGATTTCAACAAAAAAGTAGTAAGCATCAACGAGTGGTTAGTGTTTCATGCTAACTTCCTACTTGGAAGCAACAAAAAGGACTTTTTTTGCATAAGGCCAGCAGAAACGACAGTTTCAGCTTCTCATTTAAACCATAAAATTAAAGGAGTTGCCCTGAAGTCTTGGTAAGCATTACGAGATTATTTAGAGCATCTAGAGAATAAATTCTTCCATCCATGACACAGAGAGGCTTGCCTATTTCCCCAACCTTCTCCCCATTAAAGAATGAGTGACGACTTTACAACTTTATACTGGTTTCATCCAGATTGGGACTGGGGTTGGTGTAGAAACAAAAATGAATGTTTTAACAGTTAAAAACACACAAAAATCAATGTTAAAATATAATTATATTATTAACAATATTGAAATAATTTTAAACATGCAATTAAAATTATAAAAGGGAGTCAAAAACAGGATAAACAACACAGCTCTTTCTTCAAAAACCTTTGATTCTATGACCATATAGGAATAAAAGTGTCTCCGCCTGCTAATGAAGGGGCAGCATGTTCCAAAACCTGGTGCGATCATGGGAGAAGGCCTTATCTCACATATCTAATAATTGTACCTGTGGATATGATGGACTGAGGTTTATCAAGTGGGGTTAAATTAGACAAGGGGTGGTAATGGTGTTGCTCTCCAGAAGTTGCTAAACTACGATCCACAGCATTTCTCACTGCCAGCTCTGCTGAGAGGGATACTGGAATTGCAGTGCAACAAAAACTGGAAGGCTGCTCAAGCCAGGTTCTGGAAAGTTGAAAATAGGGACTCCGAATTATAGAAACATATGATTTGGAAGAGACCATATGGCTTATCCAGTCCAATGCCTCTTGTGTGTGATGTTGCCTCTTCAATAGAGTGCCCTTCTGAAGGAGGCAGAGTACTAGGTACTATTTTTCAACACCTAGTTATAATGTTTCTGTTTCTCTCAGTACTTTAAATTTCTCTAATTTTATTTCACATTGAATGGTGGTTTTCTGTTTGAACAGAATAGCTTTTATGACTCACTGTTATGTTGTTGCTTTTGCAATGCCCCATGCCTTTTTTATAATGTTAAGTGATTTACAAAACAAACAGCACTTCTGAGAAGTTTGTTCTGTATCCCCAGAAGGATGCACCCCATTAACAAACAGGACTTAATAAACAAAGTAGCAAAATGTTTCAGCTTCTGCCTTCTTCACAAATACAAGTTGAATCCAATGTGGCAGTTTAGAATAATAATGAGCTGTGCACTGGCTTGGGCTCTTTTGCAGATGAAGGAATGGTTCAGGTATTTTAAAAATAAACAATGCTGTGGTTTACTGCAAGCCATTTGGTCTTAGCTAAGCCCTTCTGTTGCACCACACTAGCATTTCATGCCTGGATTTACAAATGAATAAAAATTAATTACAGGAGTCCCACTGTAACAAAAGTTGTTTTATAAGAGGGATACCATAATTACTATCATGCCATAGAGCTTAAAAAACAAACTATGCCTCCAAACTGGGTTCATGCCTTTTTGAAGATTATATTTTCCTATTCTCATCCCTTTGAGGTTTAAATTGAGGATTAGATAGCAGGAAGGCCTTGAGACCATGAAATGTGGAACTGAATGCATGACAATCGCAAATCACTTGGTCTGTAAAAAGTTCAGTATCATTATGTTATGAATGACAGGTGAAAACACTCAAAGCCGTCACCATTATGCTAAACTTCATATTAACAACTCTGCTTTGAAACCAGATGTAGTTTAGAACTTATAAAAAAAGGCTGTCCTTAAATATGTGATGAATGCCAAATAGAATCATGAATATAAAACTTTGCCCTTTACTAGAAAGAGGAACCTAAGCAATATATATCTCACTGAAGGAAAGGAGACGGGTATCAATATTTGCAGGTCTGTAAAAACATGGTGCACTTTTCTAAGATTCAACAGTATGGAAACCAACCAATGGCTGTGTTTCCATTCAAACTTTCAAACTTTGATTTAAAAATATGTCAGTAGAAAAGTTGCTTAGGTCTCCACAGCAGAAAAGGTATATATATATATATAGTTTAATTTCCAGAAGCAACACAATTGCCTTTTAAGACTGTTTGGAAGGTCCAAACAGTCCAATGGGTGGTAGCCAAACTGCTCACTGGAGCAGGGTAAAGGGAGCACACAACTCCCATTACACCAGCTCCACTGGCTGTCAGTCTGCTTCTGAGCACAATTCAAAATGCTGGCTTTAGCCTATAAATCTCTAAATGGTTCCAGCCCAGTTTACCTGTCTGAATGTATCTCCCTCTATGAACCATCTCAGAGGCTATGATCATCCGGGCAGGCCCTGCTTTTGGTCCCACCCCCCTCAGGTGCGATGGGTGGGGATGAGAGACAGAGCTTTCTCAGTGGTGGCCCCTTGACTATGGAACTCCCTCTCCAAAGAAATTAGATCAGTACGCTCCCTCCTGGCTTTCAGAAAAGAAGTAAAAACTTGGGTTATGGGACCAAGCCTTTGGGAAGTAAGCAATACAAGGAATGATCAGGGATTATGTCCAATTGATATTTGGAACAGCCTTGGACCATGATTTTTGGATTATGTAATTTTAACATTCATATTAATAAGTTTTAACTCCAAATTTTAATGTTTAAATGTTGTTATGTTTTTATGATCTAATCGATAGTTATATGATATTATTGTTTTCTCTTAGGTTTCATATGTATGTGAGGCATTACATTTTGCCATAAATATGTTGGAAACTGCTTTGAGTCCCCCTTGGGGTGAGAAAAGTGGCATACAAGTGAAGGAAATAAATAAATAAATAAATTTGTTTCTTCCGGATAGTGTGCATCCTCAGAAGCAACACATACCTGGGTAAAGGTCCTTCTCAATGAGTTTCATCTGGAGATGGAAGATCTGTTCCTGGAGTTTGCAAATGGAGTGCTTCATTTTCTCTCGCCGTGTTACCATGTAACAAAGATTTCTAACCTGCAAAACAGAGTGGGAAGCACTTTTTTTGGTCAGAACTGAATTCTGAAGACATCTACTAAGGTTCCTCAAATGCCTTCTCATGTGTCTGCTTGTCCCTGCCTCTCGCTTCACTTCATCAGGTCTTCCCAACTGTACACATTACTGCTCCATATTTCATGCCTATGCTGCAAGCATAGTCCACAGGCTGAATGAGATAGTCAATGGACTGAAACCAACTAATAAACAAATCCCTTTGGGTTTAGAGAGGACTACAAAGTGCAATAGACTAATGTAAAGGCTGTGGTAAAATCAAAGATAATCTCTGTCCATCTGTTTGAAACAGGCTTCATAAGTTTGGGCTGATATATTTATGTTTTCATATAGCAGCTGTCTGCAAACAAACAACACCCTGAAAGCAGTTTGTCATCCCCTCATGATGTTGACAGTGCAGTATCTGAGAGAAAAATAAATCTGCCTTTTACATACAAGCTGTCCCCAGGTTATGAATGTATATATAAGTCAGAACAGGCAAGTTTTTAAAATGTAACTCCACGCAAAAAATTGTTTTAGTTTTGGGTAACATGGGGAAGGATTAACATCTGGTGGCACAGTGGGTTAAACCCTTGTGCCAGCAGGACTGAAGACCGACAGGTCACACGTATGAATCCGGGGAAAGCGTAGATGAGCTCCCTCTGTCAGCTCAAGCTCCCCATGTGGGGACATGAGAGAAGCCTCCCACAAGGATGGTAAAACATTAAAACATCCAGGCATTCCCTGGGCAACGTCCTTGCAGACGGCCCATTCTCTCACACCAGAAGTGACATGCAATTTCTCAAGTCGCTCCTGACATGATAAAAAAGCACTCCTGTAATGTTCATTTTGCTGTCTGTGCCTCTGTTCAGAAGATTCCACCTCACTTTCTGTCCCTGTGATAACTGGATTTTGAAAATCTTGGGTTGTCATGAAAACAAGGATTGATAAAAAGCTTCTGTAGAGACACTTTCCCCCCATAATAACTCTTCCAGGAGTGTATTTTCCTTCCTAGACTTTCTCTTACTTCCTGTTGTCTCGCTTCTATTTGTAACTAGGCGTTTGTCATCGGATGTTTGTCATTTAGGGACTGCCTGTATATTTTCTGTGGAAATTGTGGCAAAGCCTGAAAAAAATATTTGCACAAGTTTCAAGCTGGAACAAGGAAATGTGGGATATGTAAATTCTAATTTCAGATCTTCTGCTAGGAACGAGAAGCAATACAATCCTCTTACACCCTATTCAAGCATCAATTTCACCTGCATGAAGTTCTGAATACTGGGCTTGCAAGTATATACAGCTGAATGTGGTTAACGGCTTGTCACAACTAGAAGACTGACAGAGCAAAATTCCTGGGACCTCTTCACTGTACTGTTATAACATTAGTTATTAGTTATGAGTCCCTCTGGGGAGAGAGGGCAATCTAGAATAAAGTTGTTGTTGTTATTGTTGTTTCACTTCAGTTGCCATGGCTACATGTTATGACTTGTAGTTTAGTGATGCCCAAGAGCTCTCTAGTTGAACATTCTAAATGTCCCTCCCAAAACTGTAAATCCCAGGACACCAAGTTGGCATAATGCCAATTCAAGTGGAATCACAATGGCCTTCTACTTGAAATAAACAGTTCAATTATAAAAGGTACCTTAGTTAACATATTGGTAAAGGCTGAAAACCCTATCCCAAAAAGAGAAACATTATTTATCCAAGAAGCTGAAATGAACTATGTATGTAAAATGTGGTGGGGATCATTAGATGAGGATCATCTCCAGCTCTGAAAACATCTGAGATCAGAGGAATGAGTTAAAGGAGAGAAGAAAGATGAGAAAATAAGTATTAACAAAATTAACTGAAATGGAAATGAAGAATAATGAGCAATTAGCTGAAAAATAAAAAATATACATCTAACAAATATTAATTTAATGGAGATTGGTGGTTCAGAAGAGAACCTTTTATTATCAGGGTCTCTGTTGTTCTATGAAACTCTTGCTTTAACTCAAAAAAGTGGGACTCAAAAGTACCTCTGCTCTTACGTTGCATGGTGAACTTATAGGCAGAGCGACAAAGGGTAATGTCTTCTGACATAATGAGTTGCTCTCCATCACCAAATGAACATCCAGGCTCATTAGAATATGAGTTCCACATACCTTGGACTCAAATCAAGCCATCTCAGTGCCATGGCTCTCAAGTGAGCAAGCTACTTTGCCTTCCCTTTCATTATCTCATGTGAGCTTCTCTGCAGTAATAGCAATAAACCTTAGAATCACACTGTTTGTAAGATATACTCAATACAATTTAAGCCTGTAGTTTAGTTCAGATTTTGATGTTTGTAATAGAATACTTTTATGGACTGCTATAACATAACCACAAAATGTTTCTATGCCATTATGTTTTAAGGATCTTTGCTGCTAGCAAAGGTCTCCTAAAAAGGAAAAAAAACTATATGAAAAGATATAGTTTGTCTGAATATCCTGTGTGTTGCATGTGAAATCTAGCTATAAAATAATTTAACAAATGCCAAATAGATGCAGCATCTGAAACATTCTGAAGTACTATCCATAAAGAAGGGAAAAATATAGAAAATCTCTATGACATAAACAGTAGGATTGGCTCTACCTCTAGGTGTTCATCTCTCTTTCCACTGATTAAGAGGTTATGAAAACATTTTATTTTAGAATTCTGGATCTTTTTTAAAGAAGGCATTGCATTTAGATGGATAGTATGGCAACTTAGTATTTTCCATCTGGACTCATTCTGTAACTTCAACCATAATAATTATATGGCTTGAGGAACATTGTAATATAATGATAAATCTGGACTTGCAGAGTTGATTCCATTTAGTTTGCATTTTGAAGTCTTTCTTTTTTTAAAAAATCTTACTTTTAAAGGTTTTGTCCCTACCACAGCAGCACTTACTCTGTGAACAACACTAATTTTGTTTATTACTATTCTGACCACTAAATGAGAGATTATATTCATTCCAAATGAACATATGGATTTTAATTTACATGTTGAAATTAACATTTTATATCTACTTTCCTGGAAATGAATCCTACTGAAATCAATAGGACTCGCTTCTGAGAAAATGTACCCAGGACTGTGCTGTAAACAGATTATTTTGTTCTCTCTTTCACATCCTGCTCTTTAGTCATATATTGAACCCCAAGATATTTTCATTGCCTGAATGCTTGCATAAAAGTAAACTCTAGGTCTCTTTTAAAGTGATTGATGTTTAGTCTGGTATTTTCTCTAACTAATTTATTTACAGTCCAGCTGCTCCATCTTCCCACATATTGGGTCATCTGTTAAAGAGCAACCACCTGACCTGAGTATTTTTTTTTCATTTTTGGTTTTCAGAGGTCAACAAGATTTTTTGTTTTAAAAGCACCACAACCAGCTTTCAGCTCAGCAGGTGTAGGGCTAATGACAATATTTCTGAAATAAACCCTGTCATCCTTTGAGATGTGTCGTTTTGACTAAGAACCAATGACCCACTTGTGAAAAAGCCTCCTCAGAGCCAGACTCCATTCAGCAAAAATACTGTAGGAATGCCAGTGATCAAAGGAAACCTAGTGCCAGTTAGCTGTCATGTATTGTGAAGCCATTCCATTTACAGAGTGAGGGCTGTTCAAATATCAAATAGTTTCTGATGCATATCATACTGAGACAACAGAAAGGTCTGGCAGAACACTCTTGGCCACTAGCAGTTCAAGGCCAGTCCTCAAGGTCAAGGATCTGATCAACTTCCACATTTGCTTTTCTCAAGTCGAATGCAAAGGCAATTCTAATCTCTAACATGACTCAACTGAACCCTTCTGTCACACACTCTCAGAAACATGATGTGAGGTAAATTTAGGTTGCTTTTACATTGCCACTGATTGCAGTGCAGAGTGAAATTAGCCTGCTTTTGTCCACACAATGTCCCTAGGTTGATAGGAGCTAACCTGAGTTAAGCCGCTTAATGCAGCTGCACCCAAGTTAAAAATACACACAAGGAAAGGTCCAAATCCTACAATAGTTTGGGACATCCATACCAGACTCCTATGTGGGATCCAGGATCATGTTCCCACAACCCCTGCTTGCTCCCCAAGCTCAGGAAACCTGGGGAGGCAGGATGTCCTGGGCCCTAACACCCAGGGCCGTAGCCAGAGCAAGGGGGGTGGTGGTTAAAATTCATCCCTGCCCTGAAATGTGTTAGGTTAAAAAAGAAACCTGGTTTACTAATAACTTGGTTAACCAATTAAAATTCTTGAGTAAACCAGATTTTGGGAGGGGGGTGGTGGTGGTTAAGATCCCTTTCTGGTGGGGGGGGGGGGGGAACCCTTAACCCCTCCCCTTGGCTACGGCCCTGCTAACACCCCAATTTAGTCCCTAAAGAACGAAAACCAACACTTACCCTGAGCTTCATGCTCTTCACCTCCTGGTGTGTCCCATGTGACTGAGCAAGGCAGCTTGAGGGGAGAGCAAGGGGACTCCCACTTCCCAAGCTGTTTTGCTTTATCACACGGGACAAACTAGGAAGCACAGAGCATGGAGCTTGAGGTATGTTGGCGTCTAAATAAGCCCCCCCCCCCCACCCTTTTGACCTTCCCTGGTTCATTCAAATACCACCTGGGCCAAATTTTGCTTTCATTAATGCACACAGCAATGCCACTGCATTGAATAACATTGAATAATGTTGCATTGAATAATGAATAACACTGGCAATCAGGATAAAAACAAGCCCTTAGTGACATAATAAAACTCTCCCTGAACTCCTTTGCAGGACTCTAAGCAAATTCTAACTCTAGCAAATGAAATTGCTCCCTAAAAAAGGATAGGATCAGAATCTTACTCATAATGGTGTATATTTAAAGCCAAAATTCCCAAAGAAAGTTTTTGTATCAATTGCACAGTTTCTGATCATGGAGCTTGTTTCTATTAATATCAGCTAGTTATATTTTTATAGGTGTTCTGCTACGCACGAGTTTGGAAAAGTTAACTTTTTGGGA